TTTTTTTTCGAAATTCCCGTGCTCCCCCTCAGGGGTCTTGGAGGGTGGAAAATTTTTTTCTTATTTCGAAGAAATGGTCTATGCCATTCGATCCAGGGTAGAATTGTAATTCATACAAAGTGAAAATTTTCATTAGTGAAAGCCCTTGGAAAACGCTCAAGGTCGTTTTTCTCGATGCTATTTACCTAGCTTTTGACAGTATATGCCACTTTTTGTATCGAACATACCCTTTTTTTTCCTAATTTTTTTACTATTCTGTAGAGAATCAAAAGTTACACAACATATAAAAAGTTCAGTTTGGTCCCTAATGTTTTCGATAAATGGCAGCAGATATACCTCCAAAAGTCTAACATCATAGGCCGATAATCTGCTACCATTTTCATTCATGTTAGCCCAGTAAAGGAATGATATACAATATTTCATATAACTTATTTTTTTCATCTATCTATACTCTATCATTTGGTATATAACATGAAAAAATTCTCTCCTTCCTAGTAGTGTAATACTATCAGACATTAATGAGATGATTGACCATTGTTTTTCGTGATACTCTATAGACGGTGCTAAAAGTCGGTCAGGGCTAACTTTACTATAAAACGTCCAAATGAGCTAAAAATTTAGGATTATTAGTTTCAGACATTGTCCTTTCGAATGCACGTAAAAAATCAAAAATTTAAATTTTTACGAGTGCTTTCGTTCCTTGGTGCTGTCATGGACTCTCTCTTAAGGATTCACTTACATTCGCTAATGAATTGAAATCATTAGATATTTTTTATTATGAATACAAGATAGTTTCATTTGATATAGCCAGCCTATATACAAATATACCTCTTGATGAAACCATACAAATTATTCTAAACGATTTATATGATAACACAACACTACCACTATCAATAAAAAGAAAAAACATGAATAAACTGTTAAAATTTGCCACGAAAAATTCTTATTTTATCTTCAATGGTAAAATTTATGATCAAATAGATGGAGTTTCTATGAGATCGCCTTTGTGTATTGGAAAGGTTATGTCAATGATATTTTTGTGTTACTTGACCCAGAAGTTTCTGCTGAAGACATATCTGCCTGGTTATCACAATGCCATCCTTCATTTAAACTTACCTGTGGCAAGGGAAATGTAGAAGATCCAGCTACAAACTCGCTACCATTTCTCGATGTACTTATTCAAAGAGAAGTCGATATCGATTTCAAACTCAAATCTACCGGAAGCCGAATTTTTCTGATTTGATCACAAAATTGGACAGGTTTGTACCAAAGCATACAAATATAATGCAATTTCATCAACCGTCTTTAGAGCTACAAGAATTTGTGGGTGTGGGTGTGGGTATGGGTATGAATTTGGCAATATTCTCTTCTAGCGGTCACAGTCACATCCATCCCATACTCAGACCCACACTACACTCTGATCATTCGTCCTCACACGCTTTCCACAAGAATGGTGCAACGGTTATGTTTATCACTGACATGCGAAACTGTTTTGTGTGCCTGATAGACTATTTTCAAACGATGAATAAGTTGGTTACGATAAAGATGCAGCTACTGACGCTGGCAATAAACTTTTAGTCGTCCTTGATAGTTTTACTGACGTGAAGGTCTGATATGAAGGAACAAGCAAACACTGATAAGACACCCGTTGCCAGAACAAAATTCTACCTTTCTCAAATATCGATAAGCAAGCAAAATAGATATACACACACATTCACAACCTGCTTTACGTTGCAATGAGTTTCAAAGAGTATACCCTGTTGATACTTCTAGCTAGCGGTAAGTGTAAGTAATAAGAGACTTGAAAGCGAGAATACTCCTTTGTTTATCCTAACTGCAGTTCTGCCGCTGACATTATCTCTTAAGTGTTATAAATGTCGAGATAAATTCGGTGATCAATGCGGTGATCCATTCAAGAACAATGGGAAAGGAGTGGTTGAGGTGCCAGCGGCCGATGGGTATTGCTGGGTAAACTCTTTTAAAAAGTCAATAACATGTGTTTCGTCGTATTTTTTCTTGTTTATTTAGAAAATCGAAGCTCACGCCGGCGGTATCAAAGGTATAGGTCGAGATGGCGATAAACTGCAAGATGAGGATCCTAATGTTTCCTGTCCTGGCGTTAATGAATGCCGCGACTATGATGTTCCAGCGCTCGGCATCAGGACAAGGATATGTTGTTGTTCGGACAAGGATTTCTGCAATTCGGCTACGACAACAACATTCAATTTAGCCTTGTTGGCCTTTACGACGGTCATCGCCGGCATTGTCGCTGGATACATCGGTTGAAACTAATTTTTTCTGTTTTGTCTTTTTTTTGCTTGACATGCTTGCTCGCATTTAATTTACATAATACAAGTATTGATTTGCGTCGATGATTTATCTCTCATTCTTTGCTTCATTTTGTTTCTCTAGTCACCCTTTGTTTTTATTTAATGCTCACACTTATTTCGCCACCATCGAGAATTGGAATTAGGAGTGTCATATTCCTACTACTTTAACCAGTAGTTAGTAAATGGTACCACATATCAGTCATCTAGTAACTGATGAAGATTCACAAAAAAACTTTGAAAACGCAGCAAAACTTAAAATATATCATGACCAGACGATTATTTTTGAACAGGTATCTTGTTAAAGTTATCTGATGATTCCTTTAGCTAGAATGGAATCGCAATAATCGTTGCAACACAAAACACACCCACCCACACCCACACCCGCTCGATACACCACTGTTATATAAACGTATCTATTGGTTCTACAGTAACGTCTTGAGTGTGGGTGTGTACAGAGCAACCCACGCCGATTTCATCTTTCCTTCAGGAACTCATTGGATGGTTTAGGTAATTATGTTTTTCTTGAATTCTGAAGAGAATCGGTCGAATCAAAAACTCATTTCGTTTTGATGGGTAGTTAAATCATTGGTTCGTCAATGTATGAGGTTTTATTTTGTCTTTTGGTACTGTACATCGGAGCTGGCTAATGAGGCGCCTAATCAATATTTAGACCTGTCGGAATTCGCTTACAGATATTGGCGTCAAAGGTTGATGAGATAGTTTGAGTATTTTTCAACAATGGCTGTGACGAAACATGAAGAGCAGCTTGGAAGTACGTAGTTAATTGTGTGAATGAAATCGCACTTGTGTTTTTTACTTACGAAATAGTCGTGAAAGCAAGGGGGAAAGTGCAGGCACCCAGCATCTCAGCACCTGTCCAGTACCTATTCGACACCTTTAGCGCATTCCATTATGAGCACCTTCAGCACCTTCAGCACCTTTAACCACTCTCCCACTATCTTAAGTGCTTTTTCAGCATCTTGTGATAAAATTTAGTGCATTGGCTCTGCCCTTTAAATTTTATCACAAGATGCTGAAAAAGCACTTAAGATAGTGGAAGAGTGATTAAAGGTGCTGAAGGTGTTCATAGTGAAATGCGCTAAAGGTGTCGAACAGGTGCTGAAGGTGCTGACTAGGCACCATAGGTGCCGAACAGGTGCTGAGGTGCTGAGCAGGTACTGAGGTGCTGGGTGCCTGCACTTACTCCCTTACGTGAAAGTCGAATGGCGTTGATTTTGATGAGTTTCACATAGAGGACATGAGAAAAGCGTTTCAGATGAGTTCGACAGTAAGGAAGCGATATCTGAGAGTGAAAGGTGCTTGTAAATATCGTGTCTCGCTCAATTTGATAGATGTTAGAACCTTGGTAATGTGAGCCTTATACTATGTTTTACTATTGAAGAAATGGGTGTGGGTGTGGGTGTTCTATTAATGCACACCTACACTCACATCGGCACTCATTTCCATATCCTATGGAATCGAAATATACAACAGATAAAGAATCAATAGACATGAATACAAATGATCTTGCTTTTAATTCATTTGTCGTATAAGTAAACACTTTTTTATATAATCATCTTTTATTGAACGATTTTCGTACATGATTTATTAAACAAAAGTCAACAATTAGTCAAGAAAAGATCTTTCAGAAAAAAAAAACTTTGTGTACAAATTCTTAACTATTCTTCAACAAAAAATAATAACAACGAAATAAAAAAAATTTATATTGATGACAAAATACTGTAAATAACATCTAATATTTGTGTATTATTTTTCAACCATTCATCTTCTTTTTCTATCATTTTTGGAAGTAAAACAGTAGATAGTTCTGATAATTTCCACGTTTGACCATCATATGTCACTAATTGCCATTGGATTGCTGTTGTTAAGAATCCATACACCAATTTTTGATCATTATTTATATCATACATAGATTTTAATGCCAATAGCAGTTGAGGAATTCCTTTTCCAAGTGCATCACGTTTTGCTTCAACAACCACTACATAACGAGTGGTATTAACATTGATATTTTGAATTATGATGAAATCCATGTTTCCACCGAATTGTTTGTTCTTACTAATGATTTCTTTCTCTCGTGTTAATGTTAAGTCATCATTAGGAGCCATGGTAAGTTTACAATAATAAACCATCATCATCAAAATCGTTCCGATGTTGTCCTTCACCACGCTTTCATTCATTGGAGGAATTGATCCCTCTGGAAAGCCTTCTGATTAGGGGTGTCAGGGTTCCCGTTCCTCAAGGGTTCCGTTCCCAAGGAACGGGAACCCACTTGGTTATTCATTTCTATGCATGTTTGAACGCGCTTGAGTTCATAGACATACTTTTTCTTTCGTTTTGAGCAAGTCACTCAGGGTTCCCGGGTTCCGGGTTCCTAGGAACGGGAACCCAGTTGAAAATTCATTTCTGTGCATTTTTGAACAGACTAGAGTTCATAGACATACTTTTTCTTTCATTTTGAGACAAGTCTCTCCTGGTTCCCGGGTTCCCGAGAATGAGAACCCGCATCGGGTTCCGGGTTCCCAGGAACGGGAACCCGCATCGGGTTCCGAGTTCCTAGGAACGGGAACCCGCCCCGGGTTCCTAAGGATGAGGAACCCTATTGCAAATCGTTCAGAATAGAAATTTAGGTGCGGTTCCCAGTTTTTGGGAACCCGGTGCGGGTTCTCGTTCCTGGGAACCCAGGAACCCGGAGAGACTTGTCTCAAAACGAAAGAAAAAGTATGTCTATGAACTCTAGTGTGTTCAAAAATGCACAGAAATGAATAACTAAGTGGGTTCCCGTTCCTAGGAACCCGGAACCCGGTGCGGGTTCCCGTTCCCAGGAACGGAACCCGAAACTGACACCCCTACTTCTGATACAATACACACGATCAATTGCTTAAATATATCTTTCTTCAATTGTTCTGGTGCTGTTATTTTAATAAATTGTTCAATTGGCATTTGAGAATCATACAATTTCGAGAGATTAATTTCGAGTATTAACTCTGCTTTTATTGCAGAAACTCTTGAAAATGCAGTACTGTATTTTTTTTTTCGGTTTGAAGATGCTTTTCTCTTAGCCATTTAATGTAAATCTAAACAGCAAAAATAAAAAATTGACCTGTCATTTTGAAAATCCTCTTATCACTTACAACAATTATCAATATTATAATATTCGTTTCAAACCTAAATATTATAATATTCGTTTCAAATCTAAAAAACAAGATTTTTAATCGTCTTGATTGATGTGATTTATTATTCTTCTTCGAGTGTTGAACAAAAAACAGTTGAAATGATTGAGAGAAAGAAATTTTTTCTCTTCAATAAATCGAATATCGGTTGAGATAATCTACATATAATCGACGCTACATATAAAAAAAAGCCATTGCATATAGTTGCACTCTTCCTCCATGAAGATGACAAATAATTCATGAGATGTCTATAGTGGTTAGTGTCATATCTCATTCTTTCTGTAATATCATAATTCGTTTCATGAAATATAAGTTACATTTTAGATTGAAATTAAAATAAAAGAATACAAAGATATATGCGTCACAATTGAAGAAATTTTGAATGCATTATTAAACAAAAAAAAATGTAAAAATGGAATTATTTCGAGGCTATTGTATAATTCGAACATAGAAACTAAATAGCATGGCATTAATCATATACTCGAAAAACAATTTCTGAATTTAAGTCATATTGACCAACTGAAAAGAAATTCAGAAAACATTTAATTCTTTTTCTACTTTTATTGTTCATTTTTCTTTCAATTCTTTTATTCTTCTTTTCGATCCCATACAGGAACAATTTATAATTACGAAATAAATGACAAAAAAAAAAGAAAATGAGGAAAAATTTGATGATGGCATGTATGAATACAAAGATCATTTTCTAGTAATACATAACGAACGAACAGATCCAAGAGTCAATTTCTATTTCAGGATAAATAAAAGAAAGAGATATTATTTTATTTCGTAAAGAAAAAAAATATTTTCTTCCACTTTCATAGAATTATTTAATAGATGAATTGCTATATGTTGCTTTAGTAAAATTGATGTTGGTATTGATGATGTTATTACTACAGTTGTTGTTGTTGTTAATGTTGACGATGACATTGTTGTTATTGCTGATGTTATTGTTGATGATGATGATGTTATTGTAGTTGTTGATGTTAATGATGATGATGTCCGAAGGAAAAAATTAAAAATAACCTAATTCATAAAATACAATATCAATCATATGATAAGAAATTTGATTTTACAGCGCATTCAGTGTCGTTACGGAAAAATGAATATGGAAAAAAAAATACATTTTTAAAAGTTGAGGAGACGACAGAGAGAAGGAGGAGGAGGTTGTGTGAAACGATTATGTGCTTTTCTTACATATATGTATATACGGTAATTGGTGATTGCTTTCGTTTTACAAATACATTAATTAACACGTTCTTACACTAATTGCTATATAATCATATGATAATTTTTGTGATCTTTACAATAGATATGTTGAATGTAGATATGCACTTTATTCAGCATTTTTTTAAGAATTCGATTTGAAATTTTAAAAAATCACAACTCAATACAAATTCAATAAAAACATCTTGTTTCAATAATTAGGAGTAATCGCTATAAAGAAAGAATTTTTCGTCTTGCTTCTGACTTTGTAAGACATTTATACGAATTCTAGAACAAATACTTCAGTGTATGACTCTTTTAAGAAGTATTTTTGTTTTCGTTTCTTGTCGGTTTAGTATTTAGATATGCATATGGTCAGGCCCCGCGAAAGTGGGGGGGGTGTAGGGGGGTGTACACCCCCCCAATAAATAAAAAATTATGGAACTTTATGTAGCGAAATGAAATAAGAATTATTGTGTTGTACGATTGAACATTAAGAAAAAAGATAAATTGAAAGAACGAAAGAGTGTCATTAAAATGACATTTTTATATCAATTGATGTATATTACATGTAACGTATAGTACATTAATTACACTAATTGAATATCGCTCTGAGTATAAGTACATAATTTTTTGGCACGAACAATTAGATTCTGTTCTTTCTCGTACTTGCTATCATCAGATAATAATTCTATTCACAAAACTTTTGATATCACAAAATAATTTATTTTATGAAAAAATGTCTGAGAAAAGGAAGAAGCTTGACAATAAGTTCTTATTGAATTGGTTAAAAAAGAAAAAAAATGTACCAGATTCCATTGAAAATGAAGTTTTGCAAAACAAGGATATTATTCCATCTGAATTGCCGATTGTCACAGACGAAGTAAGCTCAACATTGTCAAACCTAACTTCAACCGTAACTAATGTACCAAGGACGTCTTCTGAAAGTAATTTTCAAGAAAAAGTACAGGAGATTTTTACAAAAAATATTTCTTTTTTTATCTAGTATCCACATCAACATCATCTGATGATGAAACATCATGTCACTCTATGGAACAAAATTTAAATGCTAGTCAAGAAATCTATTCGGTAAATAATGTTATTCTGGACTTATTAAAGCTTCAATCGATTTTTTCAAACTGCGAATCTTTAATTAAACAATCACAAGCACCTGATTTTTCTGAAGAAATATTTCTTATTGAAACACATTCATTATGTATTTCATTAAAGAACATATCAACGGAACTTGAAACAAAGTGTTCACAGTTGCTTTCGAGTATCGAAGCAAACCGAGGTAATATAATAAGCAAAAACAGGAGTGAATTAATCAGCACAGATCCATCTGACAACAGAAAGTACAACGATGATGAATTACGCTATCTGGTTGATTGTGGTCCAAATCACGAATTTCTTTCATCTTATCCTCAAAATCTTCAATTAAAAAAAAAAGGTAAACAATGTTCGTTCTCTTCTAGTTGGTATAAGGACTTTCCCTATTTGGAGTACAGTGTTAAAAAAGATGCTGTTTTTTGTTTTTCTTGTCGTTTATTTGGTGCTGGTCCCGGTGCAGAAAAATCTCAAGAGGTATGGTCATTCAAAGGCATTTCGTCATGGTCAAAGATGACAGGTATTTGAAACAATTACCAAGACACAGTTTGAGACCAATATTCTTTTTTTTTATTGTAGGCTCCGGTGGAAAGATGGTTAAGCATTTTAAATCTACGGCACATATGAGTAGTGAAAATCGTTTATTAAACTTTTCTCAGAAAAAAACTAATATTGATTTAATGTTAATTGGTGGTCAAAGAGAAGTTGATCGAAAACGTGAACAACTTTTAAAATTAAATGAAAAAATCGTTATCACGTTACTTGATGTTGCACGATTTCTTTCACGACAAGCATTATCATTTCAAGGAGATGGAAATTCTGAAGGTACGTAAATGAAAAATATTTAGAACTAGATCTCCTATAATAAACGGTAATTCTGTTCTAGGCAATTTCGTTGCGACCATAGACCTGTTGCGTCGTCATGATCCAGTACTTGATCAATGGTTTAAAGACTCCAGTTTACGTCCATATCATGTAAGAATAGCACAATATTTTATGGCTTGCAGTTAGCGAAAGAAATCTGTTTCTATTTCCAGGTGACTTATCTTCATCATGATTCACAAAACGAACTTATTACATTATTTGGTAGAGCTGTTCAACAAGCTATATTGAATGATATACATAAAGCACAATTTATTTCTGTGACTGTCGATTCAACTACTGATATTTCTAATAAAGAGATATATACAATTGTAATTCGATTTGTAAAAGACTTCATTGCTCAAGAACGAATGATATCCGTTATGGAATTAAATTCTAAGGTAGGTGAAAATATATGTAAGTATTTGCTAGGCGAGCTAAAGAAATATGGTATTTCAACCGACAAAATCATAGCCCAGTCTTATGATAATGCGTTGAATATGTCTGGAGTGAATCAAGGCGTTCAAGCTTGTTTAAATAAACATTTAAATCGAACAATTTTATATATACCATGCGGTGTTCATTCTACAAATTTAGTAGTAAAACATGGTAGTAGTATTAGTATCGAATACATAAATTTTTTTGGTATTTTACAAGAATTATATAATTTCTTCGAAATGAGTGCTAAACGACATTCATTATTGTGTAAAAATTTAAGTGAAACAGAATTTGGTAAGCTTTGTTTACTTCTAAATCAATTTTTCTTTTTACCGTCTTTATTTTAGGAATATTGGTCAAGGACTTGTCGAGAACACGTTGGTCTGATCGATATGAAGCTGTTAGAGCTGTTTATATTTCACATAAACAAATCGTCGATACTCTTCAAGAGATATCAGAAAACGATTCTGTAAAAACAACTCGACAAACAGCAGAAAATCTAAAGAATAAATAATGTATTCAATATTTTATTGCCTATATAGCATTTGCGATTCCTTAAAAATTTTGCACAACAATGATACTTTCAGGTTCTTTGGGAGGTTTACACCCCCCCAATATTTCACTCTTCGCGCGGGGCCTGATGATAACACATTGCTACTTGCAAATGTTCTTCACCAAATCTTTTTTTTCGAATACTTAATGCCTTTTTAAATGATTCGAGAGCATTCGTACGATTTCCTTTTCGGAAATGAACTTCACCAATACTATTGTAAGTA